CTCCCAAGTAGCTGGGAATATAGGTGCCTGCCACTACGCCTGGCTATTTTCTTATTGCAGTTGTCATTGTTGTTTAGCTGGCCTGGGCTAGGTTCGAACCCTCCAGCCTCAGTTGTGGCTGGCGCCGTAACCACTGTACTACAGGTGCTGAGCCTGGATATAGATTACTATTCTAGAGCTCACATAACTAGACTTAGTTAACTATTAGTTAATTATTTAATTATAATTGTAAGTAACTTGTTTTACTTTTAATTAATTGTAAGTCAAACATTTCTAAGGAAACACACAATAAGAATGTGCAATTTCCTGCAAAATGTTAACTTCAAAATAATAATTACAGTGGAGAGAGACAACTAACAGTTTTAAGGCAGTTGTTAATTTCAAACTCACTACTTTGGTTTTAATATTATACCTAAATGACCTATATGAGAACTTTGTATGTAACCACAGGCACATTGAAATAAGATCTTTTCAAATAGGCACTATATAGATCAGTATCTCTGGCTTCATCTACTATAGAAATAATTCTCAGTATTAATAATATTCCAAAATCTATTTGGGCAAAGTGAAGTCAAGTTCCCATTATAAGGTATAATTTCATCATCTGTAAATTTAGATGATTAGAATATGTGATCTTAAGATCTCATCCAACTTTAGAGATTTATATTTTACATCAAAAATGGGAGAGAAGGAAATACAACTTCTTATCTGAACTTAGCACTGAATTGCCCTATGTTCTTTTGTGTCTTGTCCCCAGAAGACTGACCTCTTAAAAAGGTACATTGATATGTAATATGCTTTTTATAGTGACGAAAGTGAAAATTATTAAGATGCTGAGTTTCTCAGTAGTATTTCAATTCATAGATACTCAAAAACAAAGAGCCACTGTCAAATTCGATGGAATTAAAGCTATTAAATAACAGCATTCAAAACCATACACGTACAGAGATTGGCACCTGTGTCAAAGTAGTATACGTATTGTTTTAAGCTTGGCTCAGGAATGGTTTTGTGGGATATCCTTAGAGGAAATCTATTAATACGAGCATATTCTTAAGACACCAAAGGCCATAACTGATCTCTATCAAATTGCAGCTGGCCTTCTGCCACAGGCTGGTCTGGAAATAAAGCAAACACTAAAACGGGATAGAATGAAATCTAAGAAGGCTAAGACAAGAAACATTTTTTTCCCTCTTAATGCCTAAGATTTTAGAGAAAGCAAATAAACTCTGCCATTATTTTCTGATTTGTTTATTATGAAAACAATTTAAAAGACGTTTAATTTCCATACAAATGTGAACATTGCCAGTTCATGTTCCTGGATAACTTTTACTCCTTTCTTTTGTATGCATTAATAGATTCTTATGCTATTATCATCTAAGCTTTGAAAAGTGTCAGAATTCACCCTTGTTTAACAAGCTCTGTCTACCCCCCCGCCCCCGCTTCTTTTAAATAAGCAATACTTATAAGTTGTTAGAATAAAATAGAAAAGTGTCTGGCAGGATCAGTACAAACAGCAGCTCTAATGCCATTCACTCCTACCAGACCTCAGAGAAATCTCACTTGAGCGTCACAAGAGCAGCCATCTCGTCCTTGTTCTCCCTAGACCCAGCACAACACCTGGAGAAATACAGGTGCGCAGCACACAGCATATTAATGCCCCCAAACAGTCCCAGCTCAAAGCAATAGAAACACACTTATTTTAATGACCAGTGAGTGGGGATGCTGACATGACAAGATGGGACACCCGCCTGCTGACTGGGAAAATTGATTTCCTTCTTTCCCCAGGTTGTAGCAGCTGCTGGCCTTCCTGGCTCATGGCCCCCTCTCATAGTCAAAGCTAGCAAGAACAGTTGAGTCTTTCTTACATGGCCTCATCTTAACACTGGGGCATCTTTTGCCTCCTGTTTCCTCTTTTAAGGACACTTGTGAGTACATTGGGCCCACTGGGCTCTCCAAGTTTAAAGTCAGTTGATTAGCAACCTTAATTCTCCCTTGCCAGGTAACCTGACCTACTCACAATTTCCAGGGATGAGGACATGGACACCTTTGGGGATACCATTATTCTGCCTGCTAACACCCTCCCACTGACACACATGACATGTTTCTCTGCTTAGTGGAATAACCTGGGAAATGTTCTTAGCATGTCATAAGATCCTTCATCATATTAAAAACACATCCTCTAACTTCCCTTTATTTTTAAGCATAAATGCCATTTGTCTATGTAAACAGTCTCAGGACACTCCTTTTTTTGAACCTTCTCTTATGACAAGTTTCATTGTGTTTATTCACATCCCCTGGATAAAGTAAAAACAACATTTATTCATTCTAACACTAATCCCTTCAAATGAAATCAATATGTTTCACAGCGAAATCAAGTTTGTTCATTCTCTAGTTCCTTCTCCTGAGTTTCATAGGAAATCTGTACTTGGCGGTAGAACTGAATTTAATATTTTTACTACAAGCAGGTGCTTGTATTGAGTTTTCAGTGAAAAGTTTCAGGATGGTTGGAAAGAGACTAGGTCCCCTAGTAAATTAGAGTGGAAGACAAAGCAGGTAACATCATTTGCCTGGGGCGAATGGTGTCACAAATGTCTTCAAGGCTGGATGGCAGGGTTTGTTGTCTTTTTCTATTTCGTTTTTCTTCTATTCTAAGTATGATTCCCTAGAAGCAGGGTCTGATACAGGAATTTACTGTGGAAGTTCTCTTCAGGAAAAACCGATATGAGACAAAGGGAAGGATATGAAAGGAGAAAGAGCCAGCAGGGGCCTCAGGTACAGTCTGGCCTGGAGTGTAAAATACAGTGACAGAGTCACCTCATCTGACAGCAGGAGGGGGGGCCTTTACATCTTGTAATGGTCAGTGATTGGCTGTTCCAGGCATAGGGAGATGTGT